CATTTTGATCAATGTTTTGTTTTTTTTAGCAGCCGATACTTTTTGCAAGCCGTTTTTTTTGCAAGCTTTTTGCAAGCTTTCTTAATTAAACTTGAGAAATGATATTTAAAAGTTTGATAACTGGTTAATTGATGACTGGTTAATTGATAACTGGTTAATTGATAACTGGTTAATTGATGACTGGTTAATTGATAACTGGTTAATTGATAACTGGTTAATTGATAACTAGTTAATTGATGACTGGTTAATTGATGACTGGTTAATTGATGACTGGTTAATTGATGACTGGTTAATTGATAACTGGTTAATTGATAACTTAATGACTTCCAGCCTCTATCCGATAAATTTGAAACTGCATTTTCTTTGCTTCATTGTCTTTCGAATTGTCAAAAGTCTTGTTACACTTTTTTCAAAGATTTTCCTTCAAACTTCTCAAACTCGTTTTCTCATCTCAATTTCCCCGACTCCGAGATCGTATTTCAACGCACAAATCACCACAAAACATATAAGATTCTTGGAGACTAATCTTTGACTTTATTGATATTTAAAACTTTGATAACTGGTTAATTGGCTATTTCCAACGTCTATTGATTGTGTCTGGTAACAGACTTTAGTTCTGCTCAAAGTTGAAACACGAATTTTTCTGACTATTTGCTTAAATAAAGTAAACGAAGCTTAAATAAAGTAAATAATGCTTAAATAAGGTAAATAAGGCTGAAATAAAGTAAATAAAGCTTAAATAAAGCTTAAATAAGGCTTAATTAAAGTAAATAAAGCTTAATTAAAGTAAATAAGGCTTAAATAAAGTAAATAAAGCTTAAATAAAGCTTAAATAAGGCTTAAATAAAGTAAATGATACTTAAATAAAGTAAATAAAGCTTAATTAAAGTAAATAAAGCTTAATTAAAGTAAATAAGGCTTAAATAAACTCGAACCAGTCATCAAAGCTTTAAATACCTTTTCTCAAGTTTACTTAAGAAAAAATAAGCTTGAAAAATAAAATAAATAAAGTAAAAGTAACAGTTCCAGTTATTTTTGTCAAGTTTCAATGTTCCTAAGATTAAATTGTCTGAGGAATTTTTAATATACTCTTTTTTAGCACTTTTTAAAAATGTTTACTTTTGAACGTAAAAGTAAAAGTAAAAGTAGAGGTGTTTTAAAAGTTCTACCTCTAGTTTTCTCTTTCCTGAGCAAATCTATTCCCTAAATAGTACCAGTTCATGAAGAAAATGAAAGAAAAAAGACGAATGACTCGAATACCCATTGAAAATCATTACAACCAGATTATTTCCCTAAAAATATGAATTGAATAATCTTTCTTATCATGTTTTCCTGTTTATCAATTATTTGATAACTTTAATTTAATTGGTTTCAATTATTTGCCTGTTAAATCTAAATTTGAATGTGAAAAGTGGCTGCAAAAGCTCAGAGATCATTCAATTCTGATCGGACATCAATTAAATTAAAATCCAGTTTTGAAAGACGACAAAGTTGAAACATGAAATTTTCTCTTGAATCATTTTGTTCAGAATGTTCAGAATTTGGTAAATCATCCAGAATCTAAAAGAAATCGATGCAAATTTATTCTCTAAAAGCAAAAACTCAATTGCGGACAGTCCCATAAAAATGGAGAATGAAAAAAGTCGGCATTGAATGACCGGAATGAAACCATACCTCCAACAATATAATTCCTCTGAAAAATATGGGAAATAGAAGTACAGTCGAACCTCTCTATAACGTAACTCACGGGACGGCTATAACTTATGTTATATAGAGGTTTACGTTATATAGAGTCCCGTTTTATATAGCTTAACGCCAGCCGGGACCGGTCACGCCTTACGTTATATAGAGGTTTACGTTATATCGAGTTTTGTTATAGAGAGGTTCGACTGTATATCGAAGGTCAGATTGCCCCATAATCGTCTTTTTCTCCATTTCTCATCGATCCTGTGACAGTTCATCTCAAACAATCCCCCAAATTATGCCCATTGTATTGTGCTCCGAATTTACCGCATTAGAGTCAGTTTTTCATGGATTTTGCTAGGTTTTAAAAACATTTAGCAAGTATTTAAAACAAAAATTTGATTTTAAAGTTGCCTATTCGCTGTGTTGGCTTTATTGACACCCTTTCTAGTGTACTGCAATTCATGCTATCAAACCGTTTCTATTGGGTTGGTGAATTGAAAATTGCCTGACTTTGAACTAAAATTTATTCAACATAAAACCATGAATTCATTCCAAATAATTTCCATTATTATTCACGACTTCTGCCCATTTTACAGGCAATTTGCGGATTCCTCTTTCGTAGTAGGATTTTGGTTTGTGTGTGAGACAAGTGTGAGACTCAAAAATCGAGGACTGGAGATGTCCCAGTTTGAGCACTTTCTTCAAAATTTGGATATAAGCTTGATTTTTGATTCTCTACAACTTTTCCATTGACACCAAAATGGGTTTCTTTTGAAGAAAGTGCTCAAACGGTCATATATGACAATAGCCCGAAGTTTTCAATTCACCGGCCCAATAGATTGAGATTAGCCTTGATTTGCGGAGATGTCAATGTCCCATTTGACGATTCGGAGCCGATGAGACTAGTTTGCCCTAGGGAGAGGGACGAGGGTTATGTAAAAGCCCTGCGCCAGACGATGAGCGATTACGCGGCCGCCCAGAGAACACACAGAACACACAAATTTTAAGCGGAACCACTAAGCGCATCTTTTTGGAAATTTGGATATAAGCTTGATTTTTGATTCTCTACAACTTTTCCATTGACACCAAAATGGGTTTCTTTTGGAGAAAGTGCTCAAACTGTCACTTATGACAATAGCCCGCAGTTTTCGATTCACCAACCCAATAAATAACACGATTTGATTATGCGATTAAAATGAAAATTGAAGTTGATAAACTCGCAAAATCATAGTTCGAAAGTCAAAAATAAACCGATTTCTTCATTTTTCTTCTAGAAACGGTTTGATAGCATGAATTTATCAAATTTGTCAAATCAAATCAGTAAGTAAGCTCTTCAAATTCAAAATTTCAAAGTATCTGGACGATTCTGAATAAAAAAAATAAGTTCTACACTTACTTTTGTCATTTTATTCTAAATTTTATAAAGTACTTTGTGCTTGAAAAATGTAAACACACCCTTTCTAGTGTACTTCATGCTATCAAACCGTTTCTAGAAGAAAAATAAAGAAATCAGTCTTTCGAGAAGAGATTTGTTTCAGGAGATACAAGTTTGAGAGTCAAAAGTACGCATGTTCTTTCATCTGTACTTTTGAAAGTACATCTTACTCTGTACTTTCGAAAGTACATCTTACTCTGTTCTTTCGAAAGTACATCTTACTCTGTTCTTTCGAAAGTACATCTTACTCTGTACTATGAAAGTACATCTTACTCTAGTAATCTACTCCCGATCTGTTCTTTCGAAAGTCATCTTACCCTGTACTTCTTTTCGTGTTCTACCTGATCAAGGCATTTCACGGTGTGCCAGAAACAGTGTGTTTACGCTCACAAGCACAAAGTACTCCTAGAAACTAGTTTTTACTGAGATTTTTACCCTCTCATCTCACCATATTTCCAAATCGAATTCCCATCGACATGTGGTCGTTGAAAATCTCACTTTTTCTCTTCTTTCGATCATCTTTTTCCAACCAAAAGCATGTGCTTTGAAGGTGGTGTTTTTCCGGAAAATCTCCACTTTTTCTCCTTTAAATTCACATCGACTAGCTGACTGAATTGCTTTTTTTTGTTTTTTTGCTCAATTCGATCATCACAAACAAGTTACAGTAAAAAGAATCCTAAACTTTGATGATTTCTCTTTGTTTTGCACACGATTTTACATTGTAGCTTGTTTTCGGGAAATTTCAAAGTTTCAATTTTCAAATTTACTGGTAAAATGATCTTTAAATCTAGTAATCGACCCCCAACAAATATTGAAAACATTGTAGAGCAATCGTGATCTAGCTATCGGTTCAATTCTAATCAATTCTACTTAAACGATAAACCGTTGCTTAAACGCGGCTGTAAAAGCTCATAGATCATTCAATTCTGATTGGGATTTCTTTATTTTTCTTCTAGAAACGGTTTGATAGCATGAAGTACACTAGAAAGGGTGTGTTTACATTTTTCAAGCACAAAGTACTTTATAAAATCTAGAATAAAATGACAAAAGTAAGTGTAGAACCTATTTTTTTTATTTAGAATCGTTTAGATACTTTGAAATTTTGAATTTGAAGAGCTTACTTACTGATTTGATTTGAGAAATTTGATAAATTCATGATATCAAACTGTTTCTAGAAGAAAAATCAAGAAATCAGTTTATTTTTGACTTTCGAACTATGATGTTGCAAGTTTATCAACTTCTTTTGATTTTAATCGCATAATCAAATCGTGTTATGTATTTTAGTTAAATGACATCGACAAATTTGATAAAAAGCTTTAACATTATGGCAAAAAACAAATAACTAACAAGTTAGATAAACTTTTATGAGAATTTTCGATAAAATGTTCTTTAAAGATTTAGTTAGTAATCATTTAATCTTGCTGTACTGTTTACTGTTTGCATAACTGCATAACTGCATAACTGTTTACTTGTCAATTCTTTTTCTAAAATAATTAGACAGAAAATGAAAAATTTGATTTTGATTAAACTCTTGCCGATTTGATTTGGTAGATTTTATGCGTTTTAGCTGAAAGGGAATTGGTTAAGTACGTAAAGAGATTCAATGAAGTAAAAGAGAGCTTAGAGAAGTTTATACTGAGAATTTCAGCCTTTAAACAACCGTAAACTCAAAGTACCTTTTAAAACTTTAAACCTTTTCACCTCTTTCATCTTATTATCTTTTTAGAGCTTATTGGTTTCTCGCTGAAATCTTTTGCTGAAATCTGTTCTTACTAATCTTACAAATCTTCTCTTACTGAAATTACTTCAATCTTTTCATCAACACAAAGCTAATATCTATATTTTTGAGCTAATATCTATATTATTTTTTATTTTGTAGATTTCTGGACCTCATCGATGGCTCTCTCTTCGGTGAGCTCAGCCGGCAGTTCCTCTTCATCATCTCCATCTCCACTTTTGCGACGAGTTCACTCAAGATTTGAGAGAACTTTGGAGAAATCGAGAGCCGACGATAAAGAAAAGGATTTTGCAAAGGTGGGTTTTTAAATGAATTGAAATTTAGAAATCAAAGTTTTGAAGATGGAGTTTGAGCGGGCGAAATATTACCGTAAATACTGTAATAGTACCCCACCGCCCTCGTACAGTCGCGTAGTCGCAAAAGTTTTTTAGTATTTCATTTTTTTCAAAGGGCCCGTTCTTTCAAAAAATGCGTCTTTGGTATCAAAAAATAGCTGAAATTCAGGGCTATTTTTTGATACCTATTTGATACCTGTAGCATAAACCAGTGTCAAGAAAAATTCGTTCAAAGCTAGACTACGCAACGCTCCGCCCCGTCATTATGGGGGTGGGGTACTAGTCTACAAGTGTCAAATAGGTTTCAAAAAGGGTTTCAAAACTGTTTCAAAAGGTTAATGGAGATTTCTAGCCCGTAATTTTCTAATTTCTAATACTTTTTCTAACCAAATTCCAATATTCTCGTATTATTGTTATTCTTCAATCTAATCTCTAAAAATACTTAATAAAATAAGATGAATAGAATAAAAATATTATTCATTATTGAAAAAACAAATTTCAGAAGCGCCCCTTCTCATTTCGTTCAAAATCTGGTGATGGAAGGAGGAGAGGTGAATTTTTGAAAACATTTAAGTTTCAAGTTCTCTTTCTCAAGTTTCAATTGGAATTCAAAAACAAATTTGTAGTCAAAATCAAAAAAAAAACTCGGAAGAAAGTAAGTCAAAGATTGTAGTTAAATTCAATTTCAATTTCAATCAATAAAACAGAAAAAAAGGATAACTTTTGATAAAGAGATAAGCTCAACACTGAACTCCAAATTCGTCCCTTCAGTACTGTTAATCTTGAAACTCGTTTGAATCATTGTTAATCTTAATCTTGAAACTTTGATCGTTTGAAAAGTCGTTCTATTTGTGATTAAAGAGTCGAATTTGCCTAGAAATTGTTTATATTGAAACATTCAATCTAGTTAGCTAATTAGCAATGAAAACTCGGGAAAAAAAATCGGCGGGAATGTTGTTAACAACGTCAACCTAGATCAATTGAGGATTGCTTTGCCTAAAAGATGCCGTTAAATCTAAAACTTCTTCGTATTTGGTATCAAAAAATAGCTGAAATTCAGGGCTATTTTTTGATACCTAACCGTACACCGTAGCATAAACGGGTGGCGAGAAAAATGCGTTTAAAGTTAGACAACGCGATGCTCCGACCGTCATGATAGGGGGCGCTACTTTTAGAGGTATTAGGGTACTGAAAAAACTAACTAATAGTAAGCAATGTAATTGACTATTAACTACTGTAATACCTCTAATAGTAGTGACCCCCTCCGTATGGTCGCGTAGTCGCAAGAAATGTTTACTAAATCATTTTTAATCGCCCATAATTTCTAAAAATACATTTTTGTTATCAAAAAATAGCCCTGAATTTCAGCTTTCATTTGATACTTAAGCGCTGACTGTAGCATAAACGGGTGGCGAGAAAAATGCGTTTAAAGTTAGACTACGCGATGCTCCGACCGCCATTATAGGGGCCGCTACTAGAGGTATGACAAGATGTACATGGCACTTGATTGACAATTGGCTTATCACTTTAATACCCTTGAACTTGAAACTTTACTTTGATTTTCTGCAAAGCTATTTGTGAATTAATGGTCATTTTATTCTTACACACGATAAGCTTTGAAACATTCTTTTTTTTATTGTTCGATATGTCCAACCGGTGAGCCGTACTTAAATCTAGCACTTTTTTGTAGCCAACTGGGTTGAAAATTTGTATCAGGGGGTTTTCGGGGTCAAGGAATTCGAATCTGTTATTGGTTTTTAAAGAAAAATGCTCTATTTTTGAATATTTCATTCTATAGACTATTTAATTACCCAATTTTTAGAGAGTTTTTTGATGACCGTATTGGCCTGGGAATTAAAGTTGCTCAAAAACTAATAACGGATTCGGATTCTCCATCACAGCATGGCTCCGGTTACAAATTTTCAAATCTGCAGCTAACATAGATAGCCCGAAACTGTAGCCAAGCCAAAAATGGCTTTTTCATAAATGTGTTAAAGGGATCTGGTGTTAAAACTCGCTTGCAGGCTTAACTTTATCGCCATTTTTTTAAGATATTCAGTTTTCGAGCTATATAAATGATAATCTTGTTGTTCAATACAACAATTAGCTTTTCGATTATTTCCAGGCACCGCCAACGTTGAAGCGCTGCTTTTCGCGTCGACGCATCCAAGCCAGCAAAACGTGATTTCACCGGACACTCCAAGTCCGCCCACGAAGCATGAAAGGGGTGAATTTCTATTTTGCAAATAGTTTTGAAATTCTTTGCTTCTAAAAATCAAGGCCTCTTGTTTTAACACGTTGACGACATTGTCACCTGATGCTGTCTGACACATATTCGTTCGCCTGGGACATTGTCACCTGATGTCAGTACCAAAATTGATTGTGACAGTGCCAAAATTGATTTTTTTGTGCATATTTATGTTTGCTGATGATGGATATTAAATAAGCAAGTAGGGTAGTATCTATATTCGACTTGGTCCCGGAAAATGTCGATTTAACCGTTGAAAAAGAGCTCTGTGGGACATTGTCACCTGATGTCAGGTGACATTTTTTGTCGAAAAAAAAACAACGTTGTCCCATGCGATTGTTTGTGCAAAAACGCCATTGTCGTCAACGTGTTAAGGCCTTGTTATAATATAATTTATAATATCAAGGCCTTGCAAAAGTGAGCCATTTTTCACTTTTACCTTGAAATTACAGTTGGCGGAACTAATTTTTGCCACACCGTTGAAATATATGAAAAACTTGAAACAAGCTTTTTTATTTTTTCAATTTTTCATTTTAGTTTTCTATTTTTTTGAATATTTTTGTTTTTTTCAGCCGCTGTCCCTCCGTCTCCAATTCTGACGCAACGCGGCGAGATTATCAGTCGATCACATTCAAGGAATGAGAAAAAGAAACAAGGCAAGTTTAGAAACAGAAATAGAAACGGAAACAGAAACAAAAACAGAAACAAAATTTCAGGTTTGCAAAAAAAAAGAACTATTGCTCATTCGAAAAAAGGAATTTCACTAGAGTGTGTTCCTTTGGAGTAAGTAATTACTCGAGTCAAATTTGCATAAGTAATTTTTCCTCGATTAATCGAAGTTTTTGGCCATTTTTGGCCGAGCAAACTACGAGTAATCCTCTTTACGCGTCGAGTAAATTGAACCTCTTTACACTTGAAGGGAATTGTCCAAATCTGTCAAACAGCTGAATGTCTTGAAAAGGAGTCGAAAAATAAGTCGACGCTCGTGATTTTTTTGCGCCAATTTTTTGCAATAATTTTCGTACGATCTTTTTTCCCAAGTGTGCGTTTTAAAAAACGCATTAAGGAACACATTCTAAAAACCCATTAAGGAACACATTCTAGTTAGAAAGAACTCTTTTTGTTAATCATCCTTCAAATTGAAACATGCTTTTTGAAATTTCAAAAGTCAAATATCTTTTTAATGATGAAAAGTACGGTAAAGTCGTGTAATCGATAAGCGTTTTGTCTTGTTTTTTCAGGGCAAAATTCAGATTTAATCCAGATTTAACCCAATTTCCTTGTAAAGAATGAATCGTTGACTAATATTTGTGCGCTTGCAAAAAAAGAGGATAAGAGAATAAGAGAATGAGAGAATGAGAGAATGAGAGAATGAGAGAATGAGAGAATGAGAGAAATGGGTGTGCTGGTGACGAGGAAAGGTGACCCAGTGACCTTGAGTGAAGAGAGAAATGGGCAAATTGCTCATCGATGCCATCACATCTTTGGCATCTTTTCGCTTTTCTTATTGCCTTGATCTGTTGCATAAATTACTCCCAAAAAGTTCAAAATCAATTGAATCTTTTTAAAAATTAATTAGACAGATTTGCTTTAATGTAAACTGATCAACTGGTTAGTTATTTTGTTTTAATCTGGTTCTGATCTGGTTTCCGATCTTTAATCTGGTTCTGATCAACTGGTTACTTCAAAAATAATGGATAATATTTAGATTAACTTACAGTAAATACTGTAATAGTACCCCATGCCCAGAATGACGGTGCGGAGTGTTGCGTAGTCTAGCTTTGAACAAGTTTTTCTCGACACTGGTTTATGCTACAGGTATCAAATAGGTATCAAAAAATAGCCCTGAATTTCAGCTATTTTTTGATACCTAAATGCACATTGTAGCATAAACCAGTGTCGAGAAAAATTCGTTCAAAGCTAGACTACACAACACTTCGCACCGTCATTATGTGGGTGGGGTCCAATTACAGTATTTACGATAAGTTTTTCTTCAAATACTTCAAATACAATCATATAATTACTAGCTTTGTCCTCTTCTTTACAATTTAAAACTTACTTTAGTTAGATTTAGATTTACTTTAGTGAATTTGCATTTCTTTAAATTTGTTTCTTGTCGAGTATTGGTTTTATTTGAAGATTGAATGCAGCTGGTTTGAAGGGCCTATAACTTTATCTAGAGATGATATTATTGTTAACTTTTTTATCTCATTGTATAGGAAACATTTCAAGCTTTCAAATGACATTAAACACAACTTTATTGGATAATCCAGTCTCGAATAATCAAAGCCAAGTTTTATAGCTTTGTTGCTAGTTTTCTTAACTATTTCTTGTATTATAAAGTTCAAATCTTGGAAATAAAGAATCAGATGAAGCTCGAGCAAATCTCAAGCCTCTTCTCTCATATCAAGTCAAGTCAAGCCTCTTCTCCCATATCCCAAATTTATCTGTACGGTTTACAATGACCGATCAAGTCCATAGCTTTGTCTAGAGGTGCTAGTTTTGTTAACTATTTCTATAGTTTTATAAAGGAGACCTTAGAGTTTTGAATGATAAGCCAACTCTGGGCAAAGCCAACTCTGAGCAAAGCCAACTCTGAGCAAAGCCAACTCTGGGCAAAGCCAACTCTGAGCAAAGCCAACTCTGAGCAAAGCCAACTCTGGGCAAAGCCAACTCTGAGCAAAGCCAACTCTGAGCAAAGCCAACTCTGAGCAAAGCCAACTCTGAGCAAAGCCAGCTCGATCAAAGCCAGCTCTAAGCAAAGCCAACTCGATCAAAGCCAGCTCGATCAAAGCCAACTCGATCAAAGCCAACTCGATCCAACTAGCCTGGTTTTCATGGGATGAAAAAGTCAATCAAACGATTTTGGTATCAGTGAAAAGCTTGAAACGTTCTCTTAATCTAAAAAGTTAATAATATTATCTTTGGATAAAGTTATAGGCCTTCAAAAGTTGAGTTAAAATTTGAAACTAAACCGATTTCAGTTCCACCAACCTCTCCGCAGTTGATTGGAGCGAAAAGTGACGGAAATCGACGGTGAGTTTCCATCATTTATCAACTTATTTTATTATTTTGATTAAATTAGAAGATTTAAAAGAAAAAAAAATAGATTTAAAAGAAAATAAATAGATTTAAACATCTGAAATAATTGTGAAAAGTGTTTGGCGGACGACAGGGTGACCGACAATTCTATCAGCGCACTTCAAAGGGCCTAGATTTCTTAAATCTTGCTCAATCGTTTTGATTTTTTCGGAGATAAATCTTAAGTATTTCTTCTAAAATGGTGCTCATTATCTAATCGATTCAAGCTTTCAAACGTTCTATATAGCTTTCCAAAGTTGAGAGCCGATAATCGCTCGGCATGCTATTCATTGATGGGATTTTTGATGTTGATCCTGTTAAAATCTTGTTGAGATTGAATTCATTATGTTAATAAACGAAACTTCAAATACTCTACGGAGTTTAAGTGCAAAAATTCTTGAAAAATGTCACCAAAATTCATAATATAGTCTTTTTTCATTGGAAACATTTATATTGGGTTGATGCATAATTATCCGGACTTCTTTTTGCGTGCTTGTATCTTTTTTGTTTTGAAAGCTTTTTGTCTATTTCTTTTTTTTAAATATTTGTTATTCTTTAGTGAACAAAATGCGTGTCGACAATCATATCCATCTTCGCCATATCATGCTCTACCACCTCGAAAAGGGATGGTCTGCCGCAGAGTCGTTTCGCGATCTCAAAGAACTGGAGAAGCCCCAACGGACTACCACGTCAATCGATCGCTCAAAAATTGGCAAACAAATAAGATCTACAACGATTTGGATGACTTGATAGACGATGTTAAAGCGTGGATTGCCTCCAAAGATCGTTTATTCTTCGCTCGTGGAATCGATCGTCTTCCAAGCAAATGGCAATCAGTTATTGATGTAGGCGGTGAATATGCTCCAGAATAATCAATTAAACATATTTTTCTAACTATTTTATTATTGTTATTTTTTGTTAAATAAAATCATTTATAAAAGAAGTCCGGATAATTATGCATCAACCCAATAGAAGCCATTAAAGAACAAGAAAATCTTATTTTTCAAGATCTATCGCTTCAAAATTTTATAAATAAATATATTTAATTGAAAATCATAAAAATCTTCAAGACTTTTTATCAAAATAATGAAATTTTCAATAGAGTAGCGTGCCGAGTGCACTCAAACTTTGGCGAATTCGGCTCTCAACTTTGGAAAGCTATATAGAAAATTTGAACGCTTGAATCGATTAGATAATGGGCACCGTTTTAGAAGATATACTGAAGATTTATCTCTAGAAAAATCAGAACAATTGACTCAATTTTGGCCAATTTAGGCCCTCTGAAGTGCGACGCTATAATTGTGGGCCATTATAATGGATGGCCAAGTTAGATCAAAGTTAGATGGCCCGCCCCACATCGGCGCGAAAATGAGTTTTCTATCGAATTTTTTCCGGGAGTACCTTTTTTAGATGCGGAAAATTGTGCTGATTCCAAATCTGAAGGAATTTTTCAAATCCCCTTGACAGAAATTTTTTAAATTGAGTTTTAGCGGTTTTTTGGTCACTTTGTATGGGAAATTTTGTGGTACCCTGCAGTTTGGGGCTCGTAACTCGACAATCAGAGTCTGGAACAAAAAACGAGGGGATAATTTTTATTCTAGAGACTCTCACGAACATTTTGATACAAAAATCATCAAATTTGCTCAACTCTACAAAAAGTTATAATATCTTTAAAGAAATTTTGCAAAATACACTAAAAACATATGGGGAAACCGTGGCCGAGTGGTCTAAGGCGCGCGACGTGAATCCCGCGCAAAAGTATGGGGTTGTTGGTTCGACTCTCCCGCACACTTGAGCTATTATTTTGCGTATTCCTTAATTGTTTTGAGTGAATACGATACATAGCTACATTGTTCTTTTGAACAAAACAATTGTGTAATAGAGAATTTTTTAGATTTTCTCATTTCTTTTTTAAAAAATGTTATAACCTTTTGTAGAGTTGAGCAAATTTGATGATTTTTGTATCAAAATGTTCGTGAGAGTCTCTAGAATAAAAATTATCCCCTCGTTTTTTGTTCCAGACTCTGATTGTCGAGTTACTAGCCCCAAACTGTAGGGTACCACAAAATTTCCCATACAAAATGACCAAAAAACCGCTAAAACTCAATTTAAAAAATTTCTGTCAAGGGGATTTGAAAAATTCCTTCAGATTTGGAATCAGCACAATTTTCCGCATCTAAAAAGGTACTCCCGGAAAAATTCGATAGAAAACTCATTTTTGCCTTATTTCGCGCCGATGTGCGCCCCCTTTGTCATTGGCAATCTAACTTTGAGCTAAAATTTCTTGGTGTTGGGCTGTCGAATTTGAATCGTTTTTGTACCAATGGATAGAGAAAGACTTGGCGCATCCATTGATACCAAGAATATTTAGATTAAACAGTCCAACACCAAGATATTTGAGTTCAAAGTCGTTAGGCTATCCAGAAAGTCTTTTCATTCATTTTCGTACCGAAAAAAAAGTGAACCGTGAACCAAAATTGACTTAAAAAGATTGAAAATCGAACAATAAACACTTTTTTTTTAGAGAAAAGCATAGATTCATTGAAAAATTTGTTATTTTGTTATACAAGAGTACAAAAGTATAAAAGAACAAAAGTAGAGAAGTACAGAAGTACAGAAGTACAGAAGTACAGCAGTACGAAAGAACAAAAGAACAAAAGTACAGAAGTACAACAGTACAAAGGTACGAAAAGAAACGAAAAGCCAAAAAGCGAAAGGGAATTTTGAAATAAAGCCTCTAGAATCTTGAAAAATATTGCTTTTTGCCTTTTCACAATATCAACTCCACTCATTTCCCCATTTCCAGTTCATTTCTCCGTTCACTTTTCTCTTTCGGCTCTTCTCCTTCCCATCATTCTCACCATCAAAACGTGTCCTCTTCTCCATCGCAATCGTCACCGTCGAGAGCTCCGATTACCCAGCTCGCCAAGTGCCATTATTTCATTCCACTGCCCGACAACAAAGTCAAAGGGTTTGTCTGTGTTTTTGCAAAGAAATCTCTGGATCTTTTAAAGCAAACTTTTAAAGCAAACTCTTCAAAGTTCCCTATTTTTATGTTTGCTTAAAAGCGTAAATATTATTTGTACAAAAGTTATAGATTGATTTCCTACCTAGTCAATTGTCTTTTTCAATCAATTCTGGACTTTAAAATACTTGAAACTTAATGTTTCTGGGATTAGAAATAAGAAAATTATATGAAACTTACTATTTTTACATGATCTGACAGCATTAGCTTGACCAGAAACTGATTGAAGCGAAAAATTTTGCAACTTCTTTTCTTTTTCTCTCTTTTTTTCTCTTTTTTCTCTCTTTTTTCTCTCTTTTTTCTCTTTTTCTCGCTTTTTTCTCTTTTTACACTCTCATCCCGAAACATTCTTTATTTATTTACTTTGAGAGTGACTTATCATAGTCTTTTCCTCACTTTTTTAATGACTAATACGTGATTTGAAGAAAAATACGCATTGATTAATCGCATTACTCCTTTTTAAATAAAATTTTGCTAAATTTCGATTCCTTGGCCAGTCTAGATTAGTCTAGATTACCGAGATTACCGAGCCTAAGCCTAAGCCTAGAGAGTGCACCGCGAGCGTCGCCTAAATTCCGCGAAATCTCGAGAACCGCTTATCAGAACCTATCGATGTGGAGTCGGAAAATGTAGCTGATGATGAGATCTTGACGATGATTAGAGTGTTGAGCTTCTGCAAAAGCTTGGAAACCGTAAAATAGGCATCAACTCGGCTCGCCGGGGTGCATTACTATTAGAGAGAATACGGTAACAACTTCACATTAACTATGACTATTCTAAATACCGTATTCTCTCTAATAGTAGTGCACCATGAGCTTCGCCTAAATTCCTTGAAATCTCGAGAACCGCTTAACAGAACCAAAAACCAAAAGCCCACAAAACTCAACATCCTGATCACTAACAAGCGTGATTTTTTCGATCTTAATTATTTTGAAACCTTCTTTTTCCATCAATAGTTCTAAAATTTGTTATTTTTGAGCTTTTTTGAGCTTTTTGTCTTGTTTTTGAGCTTTTTAGACAGATAATTAGATGATTAGATAACTAGATAATTAGATAATTAAATAATTAAATAATTAAATAATTAAGTAATTAGCTTTTAAAAACTATATTACAGTAAAGAATTTGAAGAAACATTGTTTGCTAACGGCTTTTTAAACTGATATTCTTTGGGAAAATCCCTCGTTTCCCCTTTTCTCTTTTCAAAAAATTTTCAAAATAAGTTCTTTCACAAAAAAAATGAAATAACTCATAAAACTTTCTTTTGAATGAAAATTGAGACGAGAGCGGCAATAAATTTTCGAAAATGATCTCGTTCTCTTTTTTTCATTTCTTTTTCATTCATTGCGATTTTCTTCTCAAAAATGACCCATTTCTTCTTTGATTTTGTGAAAAAAAAAAACATTTGTGAGATATCAGCGCTTATTTTTAATGTTTACGTGTAAATTTTGAGGGAGTGGGACAAATGCGACCTTTTTTTGCGCACCCGGACATTTGCGCATCTTTTTTTCCGTACCTTGCCCATTAGCGCACCTTTTTTCGCGTTTTAAAAAAGCTCTAAAAGCTAATATTAACCAATTTCTATTCCAAAAGTTGTTTTTCTAGATAACTTTAGGGCGTAGAATCGAAATTTTGACATATCAGAGCTTGTGGAAGCGAACGGACGAAGTTATACAAAGAGAAAAATCGACAATTTTCTGTAATTTGATCTAGCCGTTTTGTCTTTTGGTTCCACATTGGCTTTGGTTGGTTTTGGTTGGTTTTGTTGGTTCCACACGCTCTGTTATGTCAAAATTTGAATTCGACATCCTCAAATTACCTAGAAAAACAACTTTTGGAATAGAAATTGGTTAATATTAGCTTTTTAGAGCTTTTTTGCCCTAAAAAGACGCGAAAAAAAGGTGCGCAAATGTCCGGGTGCGCAAAAAAAGGTCGCATTTGTCCCACTCCCAATTTTGAAGGTTCTTCTATTTTTGAAATTAAAAGAATTCTGCAGAAAATTTCGCCAGATTAACGACAAAAAACCCTTTTTAAAATCAATTTTTTTGAAACACAACTTTTCAAAACAAAGATTTTTTTAAAAATATCGTAAAATGGGACTTTTTTAAACGAATTAATCGCTGAGCGCTGGAAAATTGAATGCCCTAAAATTGCCAAGAGTTCTCTTCTTTGAAACTCAACTTTTCCAAGAGGACTTTTCACATTTATTGCATAGTTAGCTAAAAAATTGATAACTGAATCTTCTTGGGCACTAAATCTTCTTGGTTGCGTTCTAAGCATTCACTAAGCGTTCAATTCTTCTCGAAAATCTTTAAATACTCTTAAACTCATTGAATTGCTTTAGTTAAATCAAAAATTGAAACGTTTTTTATCTCATTGTATAGGAAACATTTCAAGCTTTCAAATGGCATTAAACACAACTTTATTGGATAATCCAGTGATTGGATAATCTAGAATAATCAAAGCCAACTCTGAGCACTTTTAACTTTGTGAAATCTCATTGTCTAAGAAAAAGGAAAGGACAAAAAATCTCTCGACCAGGGCAGGACTGGAACCTGGAATCTCTGGCTTAGGAGACCAATGTCTTAACCATTAGGCCACGTAGCTAAAAAATTGATAACTGAATCTTCTGGGACACTAAATCCTCCTGGACAGCGTTCAATTCTTCTCGAAAATCTTTAAATACTCTTAAACTCATTGAATTGTTTGAGTTAAATCAAAAATTTAAACATTTCGAGCGATTTTGTTTTAATGAAATTGAAATTGATGAAATTGAATGCTTTCGAATCACAAAAGAGTCGATTTTTTTGAAACTTACAGTACTGGAAAATGAAATATGATATTTGAAAAACGATCGTCACTTTCGCGCGTCTGTAACTCCCTTGTCTTTGAGTTTAAACTATTAGTGTTATACATTTTCTGAAAGCTCTTTTCAAGGGCTACACAATGGTAATATTAATATTTAGAAATACGGTAAAGACAAGGAAGTTACAGACGCGCGAAAGTGACGATCGTTTTTCAAATATTATATTTCATTGTTCAGTAGTGTAAGTTAATATTATAAAAAACATTGCCGGATAAAGACTAAATAGAATAAATTAGATTCAAACAATGAGAATTCATAAAGCTTTGTGAAATCTCATTGTCTAAGAAAAAGGAAAGGACAAAAAATTTCGACCAGGGCAGGACTTGAACCTGGAATAGGAGCCCTGATTTAGGAGACCAGCGTATTAACCATTCGGCCAAGCGGCCAACGGCTGGTTTTATCAAATTTAACTTTAAACGTAGAAACTAATCGATTTACAGTTTTGACAATTATTTAGAGAAAATTGGCAGGATGGATTGTTCATTTTCGAAAAAAAAGAGAAAATCACATCAAGAACGATGATTTTCTGGATGAATTCATAAAGGGAAAGAGGATGAAGATTATAAAAAAGAAGAAGAATGAGTAGAAATGGGATGCTAGAAGAGGGGCAGTCGAGGTGACCGGTTGTTCACCCTTTTCTCTTCTTCTTCTTCTTCTTCTTCTTCTTCATCCACCCCCTTTCCACCTTTCCATTCATGAATTCGTTTCTTTTCTTGAATCCTTGAATCCGATCTTCTCGTGGAGCCATTATCCTAATCCTTCTAAAGTTACTGTAAAGTTTCATGTGTAACTGGCTTCCTTGCCAGCCTGCTTGCTAGCTTGCAGGCTTAGGTTCAGGCTCTGTATAGCACAAGAGCCTTTTCAACTATGAGCTTGCTAGCTTGCTTGCTATGGCTTATAGTTTGGCTTCTAAAGTTACTGTAAAGTTGTAAAGTAAACAATCGGGATTAAGCTTTTTAATCCATTCGTTCACCCTTCTTTCTTTCTTTTCTTAAATCCCTAAATCTGTTCTAGATCGAAATCTGTTTTTGTAAACGCATCTCGATCAACTTATGATGCTTTTAAAGCTCAAAGATCTTATTGAGTACAAGTTCAAAGATCATTTCAAAGATCAAAGGTCTAAAAACGTGAAACGAAGATCAAACTTTACCAGAATTTCAATTCTGTTCAATCCATTCTGTTCAATCAATTCTGTTCTGAATTCTAAACTCATAAATTCCAGAAGTCGCTCAGCTTTCGAATTACAACAACGTTTTGGTGAGGACACAGTGTTCAGCTCGGGGCCATCGATGAGGACATTCAAAGCGAATCAAGGTGAAATCATTATCATTTGGTGAATCATTTGGCATCAATGATAAAGCTTGGATGATAATATGCCATTTATGATGTTTACCAAATGGTCAAAACTCTCAATTCAGAGTGAAAAAGCATATAGTTTCCTTGGCTTTGTTTAGAGCAACTTTTGCTCTATCTAATAAAAGTCAGAGTTGAAGAAGTCAATTTATTCTTTCCAATCTCTTACTTTCAATTCTAATCCCTTCCTTTCCATTACTCCAATCCAAACTCTTTCCAATTCCTCGTGTAATTTGACCTTGATTCAAATCATGATCAATAAGCACACTCATGTATTCTTGAGTGAGGCAATTCTCGAGTCAGCTGAGGTGAATGCGATGAGAGAAGTGGATGGAAGGTTGTCACTCAATTCACAAACAAGTGACAAAGAGATAGGGTGGAAAGAAAAGAAAAGAAAAGAGAGATCAGTTCTGATTTCTTTCCTTGCGTAGTGATGGCCTTTTTCTCTAGTGTTACACCCCGGTTGTGTTCGATCTTTTTCCTTTTCTCTTTGTCAATATAGAGCCCCCTCGAGAGATGCATAATGACCCGCTAAAGCTGCCACACGCTTTTCCGTCTGTTTCTCAACCGGAAACTCTACTATAACTTTCCAGGAAACTTTATGGTTCTAGTTTTAACTTTATTCTTCAGCTGTTCGTTTTTCAAAGATTCTTTTATGAAATTATGTCTTAAATCTCATTGTTTATTATAATTTTGCTTATTCGATTTCTCTTTTGCTTTTTAAATATCATTTTTGGGATATTTGGCCCCTTTTGCCATTGGCAATCTAGCTTTGAGCCTGCCATTGGCAATCTAACTTTGAACTCAAATATCTTAGTGTCGGGTGGTTCAATTTATACATTTTTGGTATCAATGGATGCGCCAAGTCTTTCTTTGTCGAGTGATACAAAAACTATTTAAATTGAACAACCCAACACCAAGATACGAGAGCTCAAAGTAAGGGCAATGGCAAAGGGGCGGGGTGACGGACTCCGCCCCCTTTGTCATTGGCAATCTAAGCTCTAATAGCTCTAATATCTTAGTGTTGGGCTGTCGAATTTGAATCGTTTTTGTACCAATGGATAGAGAAAGACTTGGCGCATCCATTGATACCAAAAATGTATAAATTGAACATTCCAACCCTAAGATATTTGAGCTCAAAGTTAAGGGCAATGGCGAAGGGTCTTAAAGTTAGATTGTCAATGGGAAAAGGGGCTAAATGTTCAATAATCTTAAACATGAGCTCTTTCAACCATCCATCTTATCAGTAATGGACGCCCGTGACGGCAGCGGGTCTCGAGATTTCGAGGACTGCGTCGCGTCGATCTCGATGTCGATGCTCGTCCTGGATGTGACCGATATTCACCCGGCCACGCTAAAATCCCTCAAATTGACTCGCAGAGAGAATAATGGTCGTTGAAAATTTGCATTTAAGCACAATTTAAGCACAACTTCTAAGCAAAAATTGATAGAAAAGCAGCTGGGGTTGGGTTTATTCAAAAAAATGCCTTGAAAAGCTTGTTTTGAAATGTGTGGCGTTTAAAATCAAACAAAAACCTCTTTGCTGCTCAAAAATTCATTCTAAGTAATCAAATTTTCAAATGGAAATTTGAATTTAAATTATAATATGCAAATTATATGCAAATTTGGCTTTTTCTTTGTTTTATTACGATGAGATTTCAGAGATTTATTGGAAATACTTGAAATTCTTGAATTTAGAGCAAATTAGATGTAAAACGAGGTAGTGATCATTTAAATAGTACATTTAAATAGTACATTTAAATAGTACATTTAAATAGTACATTTAAATAGTACAGTCTTACAGTCTTGCCTAGGAGCTAATTGGAATAGATGATTCACTATTGCATATTGATTGATTGATTCTAGATGATTCACTATTGCATAACGCTGTAGTACAAATAGTACATCTAAATAGTACAGTCAAATAGTACAGTCAAATAGTACATTTAAATAGCACATTCAAACAGTACATTCAAACAGTACAATCTAATAGTACAGTCAAATAGTCCAGTCAAATAGTTCAGTCAAATAGTCCAGTCAAATAGTACATTTAAATAGTACATTCAAACAGTACATTCAAACAGTACATTCAAACAGTACATTCTAATAGTACAGTCAAATAGTACAGTCAAATAGTACATTTAGATAGTACATTTAAATCATATTACAATTGCAATTACATTGCAATTACATTACAATTACATTACAATTGCAATTACTACAAATAAATTCGAACTAAAAGGTACATTTAAAAGCAGTGACACGTACCGGAAACCGGAAAACCTTTAAAAAACGGAAAACTAGCTTAGAAGACAGTTTAAAAGGATTTAGGATTTAAAATCTCAAATAAATTTGTGAATTTCAGGCGGAGCAACAATGCTAACGCATCCCGGATCACCGTTGAGTGGATTTCGACGGGAAAAAGCCGACCTAAACTCACCGATAAACCCAGGCGCACGAATCGCGAAACATTTAGAGGGCAGTCCTGGGCCGAATATTGTGAGTTTTTTTTTCAGGAATTTTTCGATATTTAGTTTGTCAAATTGTCAAATAAAGGTTAAGAAATCGATTGAAATACAATTCTAGTTTTAGTTTATAGTTTAGAGCTTATAGTTTAGAGCTTACAGCTTATAGCTTATTGTTTATAGCTTATAGCTTATAACTTCTAGCTTATAAACTCAAAAACTCTTTCTAGTAAATGAGTGATGAATTTGGTAACGAAAACCTTTGTAAACTTGTGTCATTTTTAGACAAACTCGCCACGAACCGAGCGTGTCCCATTGCGACCACCACAAAACGCGCTCGATCAGAACGCAATGCGCAATTGTGTCGAAGAGTTGCGCAGGAAACGGTGAGACTTTGAAAGGATAAATATTTTCGATACTATAATAAATACTTTAAAGAGCGCTTTCAATCTTGGTTATTTAGCTTTACTTTACGTTCTTCGCGCTCTTTAAACTCAATGAATTGCTGTAACTTTTGAAAGCGCTAGTATTTGGTTGGGGAATGGCACTGAAGTTTAAAGAACTTTTAACGCACGCATAAAGCCTTCTTTAAATACACGTTTTGTTTCATCAAAATGGTTCAAAATCTCTCTACAAAATGGCTTCTGAGAGATTCCATAAAGCTCATCTTTTGTGGAGTTTATGGACTCCCAAACAAAGCTCGCTCAAAAAGGCAAGGAGCAAAGTTCGACTCATCATTTCACAATTTCTTCCACATAAACCTCTTATATTGTCTAAATAAAAAAGATAGAGCACACTTCATTACATAAGTTGCCAAATTTTTAGGAAGATTTCTTCAAACCGTTTTCCCTAGATGATAGATTTTGTGAAAAAAAAATGGCTTGTGTTGAGCTGAGGCGCTGCTAAATGGCCTTTCCCATGTTTGACCGTTTTCTTGCCAACTCTGCATAGACCTGGTCCAACTGATCAACGTCTAAGGAAGCTGTAATGGTTGTGCCTTCAGATAACAATTCCCAGTAAACAATCCCCTTTACATCCCACCCATCCGAAGTAGATAGTGTTTATCTTCTTCGGATGCGTTTCGCGCTTGGGCTTAGGAGAATGAAATGGCGCCAAACTTTAAAGAAACTTTTCGCACGCATAAAGCTTTCTTTAAATAAACGTTTTATTTCATCAAAAGGATCCACTATTTCTCTAAAAAATGACTTTTGAGAGATTCCATAAAGCTTTTCTTTCGTGGAGTTTATGAACTCGCAAACACAGCTAATCAAAATGGCAAAGAGTTCGATTCATCGTTTGAACAATTTCTTCCACATAAACCTCTTATATTGTCTAAATAAAAAAGATAGAGCACACTTCATTACACAAGTTGCCAAATTTTCAGAAAGATTTCTTCAACCGTTTTCTCTAGATGATAGTTTATAGGTTTTGTAGAAAAACTGGCGTTTTTTTTTGAGCTGAGGCACTGTTTGAGTTCTCTGATTTTGTTTGAATAAGGCTTATAATAACAATTTTATACAATTGATGACTAAAGAAATGTTTCTCCGAGAAGGGGAAACATTTCTTTAGTCATCAATTGTATAAAATTGTTTTCTTCCTGTTTCTCAGAACCAGAAAGTAAAAAAACAAAATTCACAACTTACCAGAGGGAAAAGAAAGAAAAAAAATTAATAAAGTGAAAGACTAAAAAGGGGAAAAACTTTATATAGCTTTCCGCAAAGTTTACGGTAACTTTACCACAATATAGCTTGTACAAAAATCAGTTTTTGCATAGCTTTGATGGTACATTTATTCAATTTAGCCTTTACTCACTTGCACAACGATTGAAAGCTATTTGCAGGTTGAAAGTTTTAGTTTTAGACTTCAAACTGCTGACGAAATGTTGCGTGGTGAGTCGAGTGGAGACTCATCGGTGAACGGAGAAATACAACAAGACAACATTAGGTGAGAAGAAAGCTTTTAAAGCTTTCAAAAAGCTAGCGTCAATACTGCAATAGTACCCCACCCCCATAATGACGGTGTGGAGTGTTGCGTAGTCTAGCTTTGAACGAGTTTTTCTCGACACTGGTTTAAGCTACAATGCTCGTTTAAATATCAAAAAATAGCCCTGAATTTCAGCTATTTTTTGATACTTAAGCCCGCATTGTAGCATAAACCAGTGTCGAGAAAAACTCGTCCAAAGCTAGACTACGCAACACTCTGCACCGTCATTATGAGCGTGCGGTACTATTACAGTATTTACGGTAGCTACTTTTATTTTGATCAATATCTTTGATTTTAAAGCTAACTAACTAGCTAGCTTCAATTTTAATAACATTGTTTTGACAGAATTTGGTAAAGAAATTCGTCTGTCTTCTCGTGAAAGTTCTGTCCTTTTTCTCTCTAAAAAGCTTCTTATTTTATTTATTTTTTGATTATTTTATAAGTGTTTATAGCTAAAAGATAGCCAATCTTATTCCAGTTTTTAAATAAATTCTTTAGATTTTGAGTTATCGCTATTTTTTCACCTTTTTCGATTCGTTTTCCGTTTGGCAATCGACGAATTTTACTCGTATCTTAGCCGGGTTTATTTGAAAAACGTTGAATTTCGTTTCATTTGACTCGAAATCAAATTTTCTATCAAATGACAGCTCATGATAGCTCGTAGCTCATGATAGCTCGTAGCTCATGATAGCTCGTAGCTCATGATAGCTCGTAGCTCATGATAGCTCGTAGCTCATGATTGCGTGGTTCCTTGATCGGAGCTCCTAAAATAAGAGAATTATGGAAGATAGATAAAAATTAGTTGGGAATTACTCTAATCATGTAACCAAAGTAAACCTCAATTTTCTCCAACAGTCGCTGATTCTCCTCACAAAGGTGCTCCATTTGGTCGATGGTAGTTGCGGACTTGGTAGGTTGTTGCGGCGTAAGCGAAAGCGCAGTCAGCTTGTCGTTGGTTTTCTTGAGTTTGACGTTTTCTTCTTCGCGTTGGGCACATGCAGCTCGTAAACCTGAGCAAATCCAACGTTTTTCATACAAACCCAGCTAAGATACGAGCAAAATTCATAGATTACTCACAACGGGAAACGAATCGAAAAAGACGCGGAGTTAAAATGGCTGTTAAAACCGACTCTTTTTTGTTAATTATCTTTCAAATTGAAACATGCTTTTCGAAATTTCAGAAAAAGGTCAAATATCTTTTCAATGAGATGGATGAGTGTTTTTTTTTTAAAAATCTTATTCTAACACACAAACTTTGAGCTTGTTTTCAGAAATCGTGTCACTGGTGGCTCGTTCAAGGTTCAGTTTTCAGAAATCGTGTCACTGGTGGCTCGTGGCGGGGTCCATCAAGAGAGCAACGTCTCTCCGTGCCGAATATGCCCGACGAGGCCGTTTTGCACTCCGCGCGGGCGATTCGCGAGAAAATCGGCAGAACCGAGGCCGGGGAATTAAGGGTTTGTTTTGAGGCAAAATATTTTAGAACAAGCGCTTTATTTTTGATCAATAATTCGATCAATCAAATCAATCAAACTCTATTGCCAGACGAGCCTCAGAGCTTTTCTTCAAGCTTGAATTTGTTTATAAGAGTAATTGATTTGTGATCTTAATGCCCTAGTGATGGGAGAGCTCTCCAAAATAAATGAGAATTAGAGAAGAAATGATTTGTAATCAAAATTTCTTATTCTGCGAATTAAACTATGCAAAAACAAACTGTCACCCAGTGCAAAATCGATTTTTTTCGAAACTTTGAAACTTTGAAACCTTTAAACGTAATATTTTACAATTAACGGATCTGTGAGCAATCAAAAATTAAATATAAAAAGAATTTGAAAGAATTAAAGTGTTTTTCGGATCATTATTTTGCAATCATTATTTTATAATCAGTTTTTTCTAATCGTTTTTTCAATCTTTAGCAAAACCAAATCTCGTATAGGCAAAATGAATTGTAATCGGGAGTGGGACAAATGCGACCTTTTTTTTGCGCACCCGGACATTTGCGCACCTTTTTTTCCGCACCTTGCCCATTAACGCACCTTTTTTCGCGTTTTAAAAAACCTCTAAAAAGCTAATATAGCTAATAACCAATCTCTATTCCAAATGTTGTTTTTCTAGGTAACTTTAGGGCGTAGAATCGAAATTTTGACATATCAGAGCTTTTGGAAACAAACGGACGGAGTTATACAAAGAGAAAAATCAACAATTTTCTGTAATTTGATCTAGCCGTTTTGTCTTCCACAAATTGGTTCCACACGCTCTGTTATGTCAAAATTTGAATTCGACACCCTCAAATTACCTAGAAAGACAACATTTGGAATAGAAATTGGTTAATATTAGCCTTTAGGGCTTTTTTAAAACGCGAAAAAAGGTGCGCTAATGGGCAAGGTGCGGAAAAAAAGGTGCGCAAATGTCCGGGTGCGCAAAAAAAAGGTCGCATTTGTCCCACTCCCTTGTAATCAAAAAACTTAAAAAGAAAAAATGCTCGGCATAGAGGGGAATCGAAATAGGATCAAAAAAATCCGTTTTCGAGTAGACTATGCTCTCGGCCACCGCTGCACTTATTATAGCTTTGTAAAAAGAAGAAGCAGAAGTAAAAAGTAAAAAGAATAAGCAGAAGTAAGAAGTAAAAAGAAGAAGCTCAAAAAGAAGCACTAAAACTTTTCGAATGATTCCGAACTTCGGTTTTGGATGATTCCTTTGTAGGATGATTCCTTTGTAGGATGATTCCTTTGTTATGAAACAAAAGCTAAACTTTTATTTGAGCTTTTGAGACGTTAACAAAGAGATATCTTTCCTTCTTTCATCTTTCTTTCTTTCATCTTTCTTTCAATTCAAAATCTCCTTTAATTTAGGCAATCAACGAGGGTTTGATAACACCTGTCGTTCGTCGGAAACAATTCACCGCTCCTTTCACCCAAAATCCACAAGAAATTGAGACGATGAGCACAGGCAGTGAAGAAGAAAGAAAAGGTTTGATTGAGGTTGAAAAAGTTTAAGTTTTAGACTTAAACATTCGATTTTTACTTCTCCAATTTTGTAAAATTAGATTCTGAAACAGTTGAGGCAAAGAAAAAAGTGTCCTTCTTTTACTTTGAGTGTTTTGCGTGTAAGTTTTTGTAAACTATGATTTGTTGGATCGATTTTCAAGCGGATAAACTGTTTTCGAAGATTTGTAAAAGAAAAAGTGAAATTCGAAAGCTTTTTTTGCTAAATATCAGTGTAAATGAAAGAATTCAAAGATCAAGCTTTAGATTTTCGGGGAGTGGGACAAATGCTACCTTTTTTTTGCTGGAAAAGGCCTTAGGCAAGGCCGTAGAGCTTCGAAAATACTTCCATATAAGGGAATCGTATGCGTAGATTCCGAATTTCGACAAATCAAACCTCGTTGACACGTCAAATTTGGGCTAAAAGGCAAAAACTGCGGAAAAGCGTTAAGTTGCGTAGTTTTTGCCTTTTAGCCCAAATTTGACGTGTCAGCGAGGTGTGATTTGTCGAAATTCGAAATCTACGCATACGATTCCCTTATATGGAAATATTTTCGAAGCTCTACGGCCTTGCCTAAGGCCTTTTCCAGCAAAAAAAAGGTGCGCAAATGTCCAGGTGCGCAAAAAAAAGGTCGCATTTGTCCCACCCCCAATTTTCGTCAATTCTAAAAAGCCAACTGGACAAGTTTAATCATAGACTTTAATATAATATCTCTGTTTGTCTTAAGCCTCTTTATCTTATCTTTGAAATCTTAATCAAGTTTTAGATTTTAAGCTTAACGAATTGATTTTGCAGATAATCCACCGCACGGCATGGTGAGCCGCAATCGGGATGCGTTGGAAGCGATTTTGGACCCATCAAGAAAACCGGATGCTCTATTCCCAAGACGGTTGGTTATTTTCATTCTTAAATCAAAATTACAGTCATGGACAACAGTCTTTCAACGTTAGTTTTTAGAAGTTTGTTTTGTTTGTTTGTTTTTGGTATATCTTGGTTCAAATTCGATCAAATTCCAAATCCAAACGGTTCAAAGATTTAAAGAGCTTAGCTAAAGAGCTTATTATCATTAGTTTTAGCATTAGCAAAAGCAAAGCAACTCTTTAAATCTTTTAACGGTTTAACTGGTCGGAATTGGTCGGATTTGGATCAAGATATACAAAGAACAAACTTCTAAAGATCAACTTTAAAAGACTTTTGTCCATGCCTGTAATTATTTAATTATTATTTAATTATTATTTAATTATTTATTATTTCATTATTTCATTAGAAATTCTTCCTCTTTTACCAAAGAGAAGTCGACTCTTTGCCGATAAATTGCCGAAGTCGATAAATTGTCAAATCCATCTTTTTGTAATGTTAAAATTAGAGATAAGCTCTTTAAATCATTAATAAGCTCTTTAAATCTTTAATAAGCTCTTTAAATCTTTTAACCGTTTGCAAATTGGTCGGATTTGGATCAAGATATACAAAGAACAAACTTCTAAAAATCAACTTTACAAGAAAGACTTTAAAAGACTTTTGTCCATGACAGTAAATCCACTTTTTTCCACAATAATTGCTATCTTTCTTGCTGATTCATGATTGCGTTTTCCCTTTTCGACCACATATTAATTAGATTGAAACATTGAAATTTTAAATCAATAATTTCACTCATTTGAGAATTTATCTATTTTAAAACAAAATAAACAAAGAACAAATAAACAAAGTGCCATTCTCTTTTCATATTTGAATCAAAAATTGTTCCAAATCTATTCCAAGAGTGTTTCAAGAGTATAACAATACCAATTCACCGTCCTCTCGATGTTCTTGTTCTTCTTGTTCTTCTTCTTCTTCTTTTCCCCCAATATTCTACAGTGATAGATATTTCGATCCGGTTTGCCATCCATTTCCCCATTTTCCCCTTTCTTTCCCCCTCCTCGATTGTGTGATTCAATAAACATACGAGTGTGGATGAGATGAATGAAAAGAAAAGGAAAAAGGGGGTTTTGTGTTTGGTGAGAGTGAGAAGAGGATCACAATTTGAGATTCGGAAAAGTGAATGGGAACGAATGGGAAAGAATGGGGAATAGGGTAACCGGAAAGCATTTTGATTTTTTTTATTTTGAAAAGCAGAATTAATTTTTATCATAATCATTGGCATAAGAGATTAAAAAATGATTTAAAAATTGAATAAAAGAAAAAATTGAGTTTCAAATTTAGGCCTAATTGGCAGTGATTGACAATGATAATAACATTTTTAAAATTAACTAATTTTGATCATAAAAATTGTCGATCACTGTCAATTAGGCCTAAATTTGAAACTCAATTTTTTCTTTTATTCGATTTTTTCTTTTATTCAATTTTTAAATCTTTCTTCAATCTCTTACGCTCCAGAAAGCTTTCTTTTGTTCATCCCAAAACTCGTTGTAACTTTAAAATTGAAAATAGCTTCCTGCTTCCAGATTTTCTGGGATTTCTTGTGATCATTAGCATTAGCTGATGATTTTTTTTCTGTTTAAAAAGACAATTCCTTGATAGCATTGCATTTAAGCGTTAGAGTTCTCAAATTTGAACAACTTTTTTATTTTATATATATATGCTTTATTCAGTTGAATAGCGACAAAACAGAATCACAATAATTACCCGGGACACCACTCAAAACACACCCAAAAGATAAGTAGATACCTCAAGAAAGAATTACAGAGCAGTTAAATCAATTGCCAAATTTTGTTTTGCTTTTTTTGTTGCTTCACCAACAAAGAACAAAACAAATTTTGCAAATTCTCTTTTTGATTCTCTTTTCGATTATCTTTTTTCTCGTGGCTGAAATTCTTGTGGCCGAAAGGTTTTCTTTTCATTGGGAAAATTGAAATCTCAAAGTTACAACATTTTTGGCTTTTTCTAATTCTCTTAAAAAGGAAATTTGAGAACTAAAAAAGAAGACGACTGGATATTAGCAAATTTTCGGGATTGTCAATCTACCTTCAATTTTATCTGTTATAACTTGAAACATCGACTACCAAATGATTCTAAAAGCTTTTAAACTTTTACTTTAAACTTTTAAAACTTTAAAACAATCAAATTTTCAAACAATCCTATTTCCATATAATCTTTAATTCAAGTAAAATTCCCGTTTATCCGCAAAGCCAGAATCTTGAAAGATCGGTGAGAATGGTGGCACTTGAGAGGACTTGACAGGCTTTCTCTCAAAAGACAGAAAAAACAATGGAAAGCTTTGGCAAGCATTGTGCATTGTTTTCCGCGCAATCATCTTTTCACAAAAGCTTTATCACTCGATATTTACCAACAATCTTATACATTTTCAATGATTGTAGAATGGCTCATACTATACATGGGAAAAGTCCAAGTCGAACCTGATTCCACCTTAGTTTTCTCAGCCATTTCTTGACCAATTGTTCTGAAATTTTGTCTACGAAGAGAAATTAGCATTCTCTGCTTGTAGGCAAAATTTCAGAGCAATCGACGAAGAAACGGCGGAGAAAACGAAGTTGGAATTAGGTTTCGGTTCTGGTTGTTGGACGGGATGGAGGACCCGAGGTGAGTAGAAGTAGAAGTAGAAGCCTAAGCCTAAGCCTGAGCCTAAGCCTAAGCCTAAACCTAAGCCTAAGCCTAAGTCTAAGCTTAAACCTAAGCCTAAGCCTGAGCCAGAGCAGTCCGACCGACAGAAAGCGAATTTGGAACCTTACTCCAATTGATTTTGAGAGTTTGCCTAGTTTAGACTCTAATTTGAAACACGCTTTTTTTCATTCTTCTCGTGAAACTTAAAAAACCAATCTAGATTAGTCACTTTTTGCATTTTAGCAAACAGTTTTTGTTTTCTAAAGCTTCAGCTTCAGCTTCTAAAGCCTGAAATTGAATACAAGAAATTCAAGCGATACTGCATTTTGGTGAGCTTTCTTGACTTTCTTCAAGCTGCAGACAAAGTAAATCTAACGAACAACACGGTAATAAGCTGTCAAAAGTCCGGGTTCTTTTTGCGGTGATGATCTCATTGATGTGCCTTCAAAATAGTGCCCGCTTTTGGGCTCTTCTCAATCCCTCCCTTTCCCTTTCCCTTTTCGCCGATCATTACACCAACACACGTGGAAATGTCGCGTTCTCCTTTCCCTCTTCCGATTTCATCCGGTTCCCAGCCCTCTCATAGAGAACTGTGCTAAATATTTCAGTGTTTTTTTTACGATCTTTTACCTATTTTACCTTTTACAAAGCTATTTTGAAAAGCTAAAGGTTTCAAATTGTTTAAAATTTCTCAAAACCAATGTTTACTTTGTTCTTAGAAATGTGTCAAGCCTAAGCCTAAGTCTTAGAAATGTGCCTAGCCTAGGCCTAAGTCTTAGAAATGTGTCAAGCCTAAGCCTAAGTCTTAGAAATGTGCCAAACCAAGTTCTAACCTTATTTCTAGTTTTGGGATACAAAGAAAGCGAAATTTACTATGTTGGCTAAAGCTAGCGATTTAGCTTTGAGTATAACTTTTGTTCTAAAAACACAAAATCATCCTCATTAGTATCCTAGGAAATTTTCAACCCCTGAAAAGTTTGAAACCTGTTTTTTTTCCAGAAAATATGAAAAATTATATTTTTTTATCAAGATGATAAATTTATAGTGACTTTTACAGAACTAAGCATTTGTTATTAGCTTTTGAAGAAAACAGTTCTATTTTTGGGTATTTCATTCAGTTTAATTACCTACTATATAAACACGATAAACAACTCTAGATATTCAACTCTAGGTAATCAACTCGAGGTAATCAACTCGAGGTAATCAACTCGAGGTAATCAGCTCTAGATAATCAACTCTAGATAATCAACTCTAGGTAATCAACTCTAGATATTCAACTCTAGTTAATCAACACAAAACTTTTTCATCGTCATTTTTACTTTTTAAAAAAATTGAATTCCTTTAGTACTTTGTGAAAAACCGAAGGATAAAACTGATATTATTAAAAATTTTGAAACTTCGAAATTTTTCCTAAATCTATTGTTTTCAAACAAGAACTAAAACGGCTTGTTTTCCACAAATTTCCTCAAATTTTGTTATTCTCTAGTTTTTGTTTTTTTTTTTGACAGAGGAAAGAGTCGCAATTTCTTTTATTTCCCACCAATCAGACATAAACATTTCCCTCATTGGGAAAAGTTTCGGGAAATTTAAGAAAAGTGATAGTGGTTTTATTTTAAATACTTTTTAAATACTTTTTCAATATTTTTAAATTTTTCAATAATTTTTAATTTTATACATGTAAAGTATTAACCTTAATTCACTATTTAATGTAATTTTAATTATTTGACCTGTACGAATTTCCTTGTTTCAACTTATTTAACATAATCGATGGCAAAGAGAAAGTAATTCCAGAAAAAAAAATTCCCCATCATCTTTCCTTTCCTTTATCATTCTTGTGCGAGCCTTTATCAGTCTTTAGTAGGATTTGGAATGAGCTCCCGTCTGGTGTCTTCTCGTCTGTAGGAAAATTGAAAGTATCTGTATCTGTAAACGAATTAGATCTTTTTGCCATGTCAAATCTGCCCTATATTTAATCTTTTTGTACCTTTGTCTAACTGTAGTCTTACTGTGCCATTTTTAGTTTTCTTTCTTTTTTTTGTGAAAGTATTGTAGCAATATGTTAGATGCGGTTATGTTTATCTGATTCGCTTCTATTCGCCTCCTGAATAAAGCAAATATATATATATTTGTTACGTCCGAATCCGACCGAATGAGTGTGGTCGGATTAGTCGTCCGAAACCGACCACAAGATAATCAATGACCGGATTCGGACGTCCGGATCAGATCCTGACGTCCGGATCGGATCTGGACGTAACATATATATAATCAATCAATCAAAATCAAATCATTTTTGCTAATCAATGAACACATTGATCTCTTCTAAAGAACTAA